ACTTTTATGATAATGTGGAAAGCTATATCTTCTTCACGATCCACTCAACTCGATCTGAGCAATCATCTAGGCGATCTGCGATACTCGACGACCCGAATTTCCATCTCTCACATTTCGAGATCTGCCGGCAGCCGAACTCTCATCGCGCGCGACGCGCGGCCTGAACTTTTCTCTTTGGCGAGATCTGAACTTCACTAACGTTTTTGAAATGACGGGGTTGGAAATTTACTGCTTAGGAAGTATTCTAGAAATAATTGCTTGCTAACGTCCTCCGGCGAGTAATTTCGAAATCATGAACGCAATACACGAAAGAACAAAAAATATAAGGCGCCATCCTGTCGTTGCCGATTTAAATCTTCCAGTCACAAATTGGGAAGGGTGCGTATGCGATGGAAATGTGCAACTTGTCTGGGACAACTGATTAGTGCAGGAAGTAGACCAGCCGACTTGACAGGACACGGTTCTGAATATTTGCCACGTTAGATCGGAAGACTTTTTCTTATCGTGCGAAGTCATAGAAGGTATAAGTGACCACAAAGCAGTTCTTGTCGACTTAGACTTAGGCACTTCAAGGAAAAGTATTAATACCGGGTTTCTAGTGAGGGAATACAAGAAAACGAATGTGGATGGGCTTCAAAATGACTTGGAGCAGTACGATGAGTTACTTAGATCAGGATGGAAGAAATATGGCGAGGATTTAAAAACCTTCTTGAAAATGCCGTGCAGACATTTGTACCATGTAAAGTGTTAAAAAGAAACTCCGACCCAGAATATTATAATGCAAAGATTACACACATGAAAAGAAAAAGCAGACAGGCATTTAGTAACGGCACATTAGTGACGGCATTATTTCCAAGTTAGTCACAATCATTAGAGAAGGAAAAGAAAGTATCGGAGGAACGTCATTTGAAATATATTCCTTATAAGGAAGGCAAGCATTGGTCAACATTTTAAAGTATGTTCATAGAAGAAAGAGAAAGGAAGAAGAAATTCCAGTTGTTCATATTAATAATTCGCTAATAACTGACGGCAGATGAAGCAAACACTTTTAATGTATATTTCTAACTAACTGTACTATGAAACTAACTGTACACAGATACAAATGTTATCACATAGAAATTATTTCATATTCACGTAAGTACTCTACGAAAAAGAATAAAATTAATGAAAAGCGGAAAATCTCGAGGACCAGACTCTATTTCCACGGCCATCATTAAATTAGGTGGAGAGGCTATTTTACAGTACCATGTAAAGGGTACATATTATTAATGTTTCTATCAATAATGCTTGCATGTCGGAAAGATTGGAAGTTGGCACTCGTAGTACCCGATTTTAAAAGCGGCGATAAAACTGTACTTGGTAACAATAGATGGATAAGTCACATCAGTAGTATGCAAACTCATGGAACAACTACGAAGGTTGCCTTTTATGTTTCGGGATTTGGCAACCCTGGTGTTGCAATCTGGCAACTGACAGCTTTATCGTAAAGTCGGGATGTTTTTGAGGCTATTACGTATCAGAAACTTTTTGACATTACGAGCGCTATTGGTTTGTTTACAGTACTTTAAAAGATTTTCAAATCTTGGCCCAAAAATGGAATTAAATCGTGAACATTTTCATGCGATTATATTTTACAACTTTCGACGTGGATAACCTTCAGCAAAAACAGTGCATGCATGAAACTTAATTCAATTTTTGGCGATGAAGTTCCATCAAGGACTGTGAGTTTATCGATGTATGATGAATTTCAACGTGGTCGTAGTCTCCTCAAGACGAATTTCGCGAAGGTCGTTCCAAAATCATCATCAGTAAGTTGTTCCGAAAACCATTGATGCTGTGCTTGAACTGATATTGCAAGATCGTCATGTGACCTATCGTGAGATTGAGACAACCTTAGGCATTAGAGGGACCAGGATACATTAAATATTGCATGAAAATTTGTCAAAAAAATGTTCGCGTTGGATCCTACATAATTTGTCAATCGCTCAAATAATGGCTCGTGTCGATTGGTCGAAAGAAATGCTCAAAAACTACGATCGCGGTGCTTCGAAACATGTCTATGACATCGTGACAGGTGATGAATCGTGAATTTACGCACATGAGCCCGAAAGAAAACAGCGGTCGACTGTATGGGCGTTTCAAGATGAACAAAATTCAACAAAAGTTGTTCGCGCACGACGCACTTCCAAACAGAAGGTCGCCTGTTTTTTTGAAAAACTGACATTGTCGCAATCGTACACTAGAACAATGCAGAACAGTCAATTTGAGTGGTACACAACGATTTGTTTGCCAGCTGTCTTCAAGAAATCAGGGAAACCGCCGAAGACGGATCACTCTTCACCACGAAAAGGACCTCTCACACATGGCTCAAACAACTGCATTTTTGAACACAAAACATCGATTTGATGAATCATCCGCCGTGTAGTCCTGCTTGGCACCGAATGACTTCTTTTTATTCCCGTACGTAAAAAACAACTGAGAGGTTAACGTTTTTCGACCCTGAAAGAAAGCGGTTTGCTGCATTCAGAATGCATGTTTCGGAGATACCTCAAATCAGAGGTGGCAAAAGTGCTTCGACAATTGATTCAAACGCATGCAAAAGTGTATAGATCTTCATGGGGAATATTTTGAAAAACAATAAAGCTTTTTCGATTATTATTTGTTTTTGTTCTCTAATCCTGAAATATAAAAGGCAACCCTCGTACAACGTGTCATAACAGGTGACGAAACATGGGTGTGCGGGTATGACGTCGAAACTAAGGTTCAGTCGTCCCAGTGGAGGCATCCTGGATCGCCAAGGCCGAAAAAAGCTCGGCAGGTGTGGTCGAATGTGAAGGTTTCGATCACAGTTTGTTCGATTTTAACAGCATATTGTTCTTGCCAAAAGGTCAAAGATTAATAAAGAGTACTACCTACACGTTCAACGCCGTTTGGGGGAAGCAATCCGAAAAAAACGCCCGGATTTATGGCGAAACCATTCATGGCTTCTGCATCACGATAATGCACCTGCTCACACGTCATTGCTTGAACTTGAATTTTTGGCGAGAAACAACACTGTAATTATACCACAGCATGCTTATTCGCCAGATATGGCCCCGTGCAATTATTTGCTTTCCCCCAAATTAAAAAGAATCTTAAAGGGCCGTCGGTTTTCAAGCCCAGATGAGATTAAAAGCCCTCGCTCAAATGAGCTACATGCTATCCCAAAGATGGAGTTCCAGAAGTGTTTCAGGGAACGGAAGAAGCGCTGGCATAAGTGTATAATATAAAATGGTGACTACTACGAAGGTGATAACATTGATTCATAAAAATGAAAATTCCCGGTTCTTTTTTTACACACCACGTATTGCACGCAATATTGCACAAAGACTAGCCCATTAACTATTTTTACTTTCCCGCACACGTACGTATATACAATACAACGTATATAAGTGATATACTAGTATAGGGTAAGTTATGTAATGCTGCGAAAAATCGATGTCGAGATTTCAACAGAATATTACAGCAGAGATTTAATCTAAGAAAGCTTTTATCTGATCTAAATTAAAAGTATTTTGAAACAAAACTTACGAAGCTATGGCCTTTTGAAAAGTGGATACTTGTATGGTTTTAACGTAAAATTAACCAACTTCGCTGCAATTTGGCACACTGTTTAAGTCAAATAATTAATGTTAATGATAAATATAAAAATTAATTGTTCTACGAGATGGCATATTTGTTTTTGTGATAACCGATTGTGGTGCGCCAGTTCACCATTAATTACTGGGAAGTTTGGAGAGCAAAAAAAATTGCATAATTAATTAGTAATTAAATAGTTCTAAATTGTGGCATGTGTTTATGTGATAACCGAATGTTTTAGTGCCTGCAGAAGAGACATTTTGCCATGAGTTTTCGTGTTCTTATGTTGCAAGATATATATTTTTGCTCAAAATTGACAACTTTTTCATAACACTGTCAAAAAATACTTTTTCCATCAGTCGTAAAATGTTCTTTCCACGAATCCACTTTTTCAACAACGCACTACGTGTCCCTTGATGGCTTTTTTCGTCATTGTAGCAAGCGCACTGAACAGGATCACTAAACAAAATGAACTGGCCTGAATCAGACTTCGAGACCAGTACAAAATTAGTGCCGTACAAATCGCTGTCTCTCCTCTAATTCTACCCCGAGTCTACCATATTTGTAGAGCTGTGTTCTTTGTAAAGAGATAACTCACAAGTGATGAAAGTAATCCATTCGCACCTATCCTAATCACCCTGACGAAATTTAGCGAAATAGATAGTATATGGCACGGTGTAATATTCGCATCCGTTCTGACGCGAGGGTCACGCGCAAGGGCACATTATCGAACAGTGATTTTAAGGATGTTATCAAGGCTAAAATTGAAAGAACGAAATCGACAAAAAAAAACAGAAGGTTCAAAATGGGCACTGATAGGCTGTAAAAGTCAAAATAGGCAATTATCCCATAAATAGGCATTTTAGGCAATATAAAACCCACGCAAGAGCAATCTTAGGAATAAAAATGGATAATGGTAAAAGGTAGCTAAAGTTAGATTCAATTTAAAATAGGCCTTTAGTCCAGGCTATATCACACATGGCTTAAGGTTTTGGTGTTCAAATTAAAGGTTAAGACTAGAGGGAAACTAAATATATGACGATTCCAATTCTCTGAGTATATTTTATTAAAAAATAAAATAAAATATTACAATTACAATTATATGTTTTTAAAATACTTGCTCTGAATACCAGCAATCAGAGCAATTTAGAGTGCAGGAAGTGACATCACATTAAAAAGGAAGTTGAAATGAAAACATGAATTACATGTCAATGCTGCCAATAATAAAAAAATCGTGTGTATCTATTCATCTCTGTGAGTCTTCTTAAGATACTACATCTATGTGTGTATCAAACATTTCCAGACTCCCCTACTATCTTACCATTTTAAAAATTCCCTCTCACCCAGGGTTCACAAACTCTATGCAAGTCCTAAGTGTTTATTGGCTGCTGTACTATTTATGCTTTCGTTACTTTCTTCTACTCTATGGACAATCCTTCTCTCTCTCTCTCTGTACAATTTCTTTGCTTTCTCGGCAGTGCTCAGGCAGTGCTCCGGACTTTTAAAGAGTATTGAAGGTGGCCCAGAACACTAAATATTGGTAATAGGATTTTATTGATATCTGCAGTCATTTTTATCAGTTAATCAACAAATATTGCAATCAAATTTCTCATCTGTGAGTATTGAGACGAACTAAAAGTTATTGTTCTATTTCAGATATGGCTGCTTTAACTCGCTCGATTTTCCCCTCTGTTCGGTTGCTGTCCCGGGCAGTGGTACAAGGAATTTCGTCTCGGGGCTATGCCGACGAAATGTCATTCACATTTGCTGCCGCTAATCAGGTGTGCGGAATAAAGTGATTGTAGTTCTTGTTGTTTGGTCGAGAAAGTGGAAGTGTATTGAGAAATTGAATCTTTTCCAGGTATTTTACCATAACAAAAACGTAAAACAAATTGATGTACCGTCGTTCAGCGGAGCTTTTGGTATTTTGCCGAAACACGTACCAACACTTGCTGTATTAAAGCCAGGAGTTGTCACTGTTTATGAAATAGATGGTGGTAAACAAGACATATTTGTATCTAGTGGCACTGTTACCATAAATGAAGATTCATCTGTTCAGATATTAGCCGAAGAAGCTCAGCCTGTTCAAAATCTTGATGCTTCAGCAGCTCGTGAAGTACTGCAACAAGCTCAGAGTGAGTTTGCATCAGCAAGTTCGGATGTTGCCAAAGCAGAAGCAGCGATTGCAATAGAAGTGGGAGAGGCCCTAGTAAAAGCTACAAGTTGAATGTGTATATAAATGATTTATTAGTTATTGTTTAAAAATATTTTGGAATGTATGTGATACCATAACATTAAAGGCAGTAATAAAAATTCTACACATCTGTGATTTTTTTTTAAAAGTAATCCTTACGTACAATTGTTACATTTTTAGTTTGACCATGATTGGTGGTAGAGAATGCAGATTCAGGTTTCTCAATTTTATTCATTGAATTTGAATCATTCTAATAAAGTAAACCTGAAAGTTTGACTCCCCTTTCCAATAAATACCAATGAAAGATCATATCTTGCCTTTCAAACTTCGCTTGTAAGTTGTGGTTACATAGTATGAGTTTTTAGGAAGCAAAAATCCTCTTTCATAACACCATGTGTAAGGAAAAAAATATCAAGATTTCAAAGCGTTATTTCAACATTATTAGAAAAGATGATGGAAAGTGGACTTTCATGGTGTGAGCTGACAAACACAAATATTTAAAGAGCACCCAATTTCGTGAAATAGCTCCCCTTCGTGTGTACAACCCCTTAGTTTTTTTTGGATGAAAATTTCAGAAAACGTTTTATGTAGTTCACTAGCTCTTTGTTGCAATAACATTCAAAAAATGCCTACTGCAATTTTAATTGTCAGCATGTCTTAAGAAAATTACACCCTGTTGGAAATTAATCTATCCATTTGTAAGATTGTTTAAAAAATAAAAGTTTTGAAAAAATATTTTACTTCATTTTTAGATACTCTTATTTTCTCCCCTTCTCCATTTTTTGTTGTCAATTTTTGGAAAACGAAGAGTGTTTGTATTCATGAAAAGATGATATTCCTCCATGTAGCAGGTCCTGTAAAAACAACGCAAGAGAAACTTGAATATTCTACTTTTGCCATTACAATGTTAATTTGAATTAAATATTCATATACTTATAACCACATTAAATATTACTTCTTTAAAGGAAATTCATTTTACTCCAAAATTGAATCATTTTAGTCAGTTCCACAGGGATTTTTGGCAGGAAGAGTTGAATGCCCTTATTGTGTTACTAAAGAATTTTTAACACATTTTGTAGTTGTGGTGTATAGAATAAACTGAACTGTTAGAAAATAATGCTAAGAATGAAAATTTTTTGAAATAATGAAATTCTTCTTGGAAATGTGGAACATTGTAATTTATAGTTTCTATGACAAAGGACACCCAAGGATACATCCTGTGAGAGAGATGAACACCATGGTAAATAATTTTATTCATGTTTCACTTAGTTTCAATACCACAATAATATATATCATTGGACCAGAAGTAATGATGTGTGGTTGTCATATTTCAGGCTGGAGGGAAGAGAGCTCTTCATGCCCAGACTCAGCCAGTTGTGGGCTGGGTGAGGGAATATTTTCAAGCAGAAAGAGACCATGCTTCATTATTACCTCACACCCTACTTGAGAAAACAGCTGCTGCTACAAGAAAAAGCAAAGGACAATTATGAGACTGAAAAGTGAGCATCATTTCAAATGACTGATGCTCAAGAGGCAGATTTGTGACAGTTGCAAACACCAGTAAAGACAAGAAGAATGGAAAAATAAGTAACAAATTTAGATACCTTCAGCCAATAAGCTTTTGGTTATGCCATTTACAGCTACTGTGCCAGGAAGGAGCACCCCACTGTAGAGAAGCTGCTTCTGTCCCTGCATGAAGCAGAGCTGTTTAAAGAGAGCAGGACCTCTGGACTTAATTGTGCAAGAGTTGGTTATTGAATACACAAAATTAAATTTTTAAAAAAAAGGTAGACAAGGTATTGTGGCATAGCATTGTCCGTTTAATAATAATAATATTTTGAGTCATATACAATTACAATCGTGTGGCAAGTCAATGTGGTGTCTTGGGTGTAGATAGTGAAGCTACATTACTTTCTGTCCAGAATCAAAACAAGGGGCCATCCCAGCTTTTGCTCAAAGGACCATGGAAACTGGTCAAAAAACCTGATCGAGATGGGGGCATTGGCGTAGATATTATACTACAAGACATGTTATAGATGGATTAATGTATTTAAACAGTAGATAAATATTTTTAGTAGCAAAATAATTTAACATTTCAAGATTTGTACTGTTTAATGTTAAAGTAAAATTTACTTGTTACGATCATTTTACTGCTACTACTTAAATAATTATAATAATTAATAATAGTACATAATATCAATTATTGTAACTACATATAATTTAACAATATTATTACATTCATTGTTTAAATCTTGAAAGGAGGAGGCAGGTTTTGGCAAGGTTTTTTCTATTTCTACACATATCCTCCTGCAGCACCTGAAATCAGATTGCTTCTATTAGTTACTGAGGTATTTCTGAACACCATTAAAACTTTTTTGCCCAAGGAAGTGTTAAGTTTATTTTTGAAGTTCTGTAATCCTGTTATGTTTCTCTGATGAATTGGAAGAATGTACCCTTTTGTTATAGTGTGCTTGTGCACAATGGTTGATGAAGGTAATATGCTTGTCTTGTGTGGTAAGAGTGTGCACTTGAATTAAATTTGTAAGTTGTGTTGTTGTTTATTACAATTATCTTTATGAACATGAGAATTTCATGAATGAATATACAAGACAGTGGAAGTATGTTAAGTTTTTAGAATTGAAGTCTACAGGACTGTTCTTTTTGTATTCGTTTTTGTCTGGATGATCTTTTTTGTATTTTGATTTTGGATGTTTGCTTAGCCTCGGGTGCTTACCCCCAGATTATTATTCTGTATTTGAGAATAGAGTGCATATTTGTGAAATACATTGTTTCAATGATGTTGTTTCGTGTTAGTATTCTAAGAACATAATTAAGTTTGCTCAACATTGAACTAATATTTTCTAGGTGTGAGTTCCATTTGAAGTTGGATTGTATGGCGATACCGAGAAATTTTGTCTTCTGTGCTTGTGTGATGCTGTTGCCTTCTAATGTTAAATTTGGTGAGTATTGTGATAAGTGGAAGGACATTGATTGTTCTGTCTCTGTTTAGGATTAGTTTGTTTGGGTGGATCCATTGAATTAGTTTGTCAATGGCTGAATTGGCTTTGTCTTGTAAAGATTTGAGAAAATTATGCACCTGGATGAGATGTGACTGCAGGACATACTGTGAGCTAAGGCTGGTCAGATGGCACTGTAATATCAGGAAGTGTCAAAGTGCTGGTATGGAAAGGTAGCTGTTTGATTGTTGTGAATGCCGGAATCGTGAAAGGTGTTGTTGAAAATTGTTTATTGGTGTTCCGATCTAAAAAGACAAGAGATTACCATGAAGAAATGAACTATGAAAGATTTAGTACATGATTCAAATAATAGTTACTAAAGAATATAAAACAACTATCAATGATTGTTGCAATGCCTAAGCTAGAGAGTATATTATAGAGATGGCACTCAATGTTAAGCCATAGATTAACATATACACATCTATTGTTAAACTCTAAATCACTCTAGATACTAATTCTGATTTAAAGGTGACTGCACTCGATGGTCATGAGCTGGAAAGAAAGGTGGGACATTGTTATCCAATCTGGGGTTCTAATACCAAAAATTTAAGTCCTAACGAAGCTTCCGATTGGATTTCAGTGTTCTCCTCTCTTTCCAGCTTGTGGCATTGAAATGCAGCGAGGTATAAATTGGAGTGTAATTAAACATACAATCTTTGGTTACAGCCTCCCCTAATGTAAACTAATATAAGAACATAAATCCCGTATTGCTCTATTCTCTTGTTTTATTTTTCTAAACTTACACAATTATTGTTTTTTGACATTTATTTCATGTCCTTAATATTTCTATTATGACTTGTACACATAATTGCGTTTGTGAGTACTCATGCTTTAAATAAAGTCTCATAGAGACAGGAAAAATATGTAGTATGAAACGTCAAAATATGCATATAAATATGTAATGAAAACAGTAAGAATATGTAATAAATAAAAGTATGTAATATGAAAATACACTAATTTTAAGACGAACTTTTTAACTATACGAAATAAATTTACAAAAATATCCTAAATAAATTTTAAAAATTATCCAAACGTTTCAAAAATAATTTAGAGAGTACAAATTAATGCATGCTTTGTACCATACAACTTTCCCGTCAGTTGTAAAACCTGCATTTACTACTATTCAGTACGGACAGACCAGGGCCCTATAACTCCCATATAACGTGGTGGAGACCATTACGGTGGCGCGCTCTGCTGCATCACCTTCTTTACATGAACTAAAACACGAACTGCTGCCAACGATACTTTAAACTTGCGTGGCTACTGCGTGAATTCGCGGGTCGCAAGCAGAACCATAATGTTACAAAAGATAACGTCTATGTTCGCGTATTCTTTGGTGGTTTCTTATAAGTATAGATTATGAATAATTGTACATTTATAAGACACTTTTCGTATTTTTCACAAATTAGCCAATTTGTCTGTGGGAAACTTGGCGAGCCTAACCTGCAGCTACACCCGGCGACACTAGCGCTTTCTATAGTAGCAACCTCGAGCTTTGTCCCCGGTTTTGAAGGAGAGTTGCCGGCAACGAGTTAGAGATATATAAAGCGACCGTGGAAAATAGGCTCCAATAGGCTCGTTCCAGCAACAGTCCGAAACACTCCCGCAGGGCCCGGCAACTCTCCATCAAAATCGGGGACAAAGCTCGAGGTTGCTACTATAGGAAGCGCTAGTGTCGCCGGCGTCTCCCGGATAGCCGAGAATTCATGGATTCGAGCCGCGGAAGCTTACGTACACATCTGAATTGAAACCAGTCCAAATCAGTTCGTGCACTCTCCCTCAAACTAGAAATCCGCGCATGCGTACTTCAGACCCCGAGTTCCCACCAACGCCAAACTTCGACGACGCGCCATTTACGTTTCCATCAGGTTTCTGCACAGTTTTATATTCCGCTCTATATTTTGACCCTGCTTTGTTTTACATTTGATTGATTCTTAATTTTTGGTGATTTCGCTTTCTTTCGGATTTTTCTCGTGGATATGGGAATTTGACCCTGCAATATTTTAAGTTTCATTGATTTTCTAGTTGTTTTTTTTCAAGTATTACTAATCCCACACTTCTTCAAAATGTATTTTTATTTATTTATATTTAAAACGATGGGAAGGGATTTAGGAACTCAAAACATACACAGATCATCTTCTCCCCCATACGTCACATAAACAATGTTTTACTTTTTTTTACTAAATCAATCTAAATCTAGATTATTGGATTTTGGTAAGTTAGCTATCTTTCGAATTTTGTTGTGGATATTGGAACTTGATATTTCTTTCTTTTTTTTGGGAAATGGAAGGTAAGTAATTTTAAGGAAGTTCCTTGTACCGTGACTTACTAAATATGTATGTAGTTATTTACCATTCTGTATTGGTAGCGTGATCTCTCAGTTTTAAGAAAAATACTATTAACCGAAATCCAAAAGTACAAACAAAAACTATAGCGCAAGTCACAGTTTACCAGGTTCAAAATCTGTAATTGATTGCGAGGTCAAGAAAATAAGCGAGTAATTATGGAGAAACGTAAAGCGCAAGTATACCACAGGAACTAACCAGGGTCAGGCTGCTTTGATTTTACACGCGATACGAAAATGATATCTGGCAGAGAACTCTGCAACTACCGATGAAACTAAAGCAGCGGCACCTAGAGACTAATTTTTGTACCTACTTGTTCCAGCAGATCCCAATCCGGGACTAGTTTCTAAACCAACTTTAAAATCATAGAAAGTCAATGCTATCCTTCCTTCACGTGCCAGTGCCACATCCTTCACGTATCGAGGCAAACTAACAACTAAATAGTATTACTGTAATTCCAACATTAAATGAGTCAACAATTAGAAACCAGTCGACCGATCTGAACCAGATAACTAGGAGGTCGCGATGAGACTTCGTACTAATAGGCATTGTTGACGGCTCATTTCCTTTTCATTCCGGGCTCTTTCGGAGTGCCCTTCGTATTTTGCATAAAAAATGGGCCATAAAATTGATATAAAATTATTTTTGTCAAAATCACCAAACTGCCCTCTCCTCTTGCTACTAGCAAAGCGAGGGCTCAAGAAAACGTGCGCGGATAATATAGTACTCTATGGTTGTGGACATCTCCAGGAGTCAGCCTTCCATGCCATGGACCATGCCGGGACCATACGCAGACTCTGCGCTGCTGCTCTGCGCGACAACGCGACCATACGGCCCGATACCGGTCTGCTGCCGGCCTGCTGAGTGCCGAATCGGCTCGAACGGCGTCGATGTGAATTGCCGCGAATCTAAATACCACTAAATACTTTGTATATACCCAACGTTATAAAGATGATTGTATCATCCCGATTCCTCGTCCGTTCTTGTAACCACACTAGAAATAGTAGCCTTTGTCGTTTAATACGGATGTGGCACAAGGACTTCAGAGGATTAACAACAGTAATTTAATATTCGTGAATTATGTGATGTAATGTGTGGTTACAGTGAAAATAATTTTGATGAATATATTTATTTGAAAACATTCTCAGTATATTATTTCTTTTTAGTGGATCGTATTAAATTGTGATTATAAATAATGGTCACTTAAATGACAGGTTACTTCTCGAAGACGAGTATTTTCGGGAATTCAACCAACTGGCAGTTTGCACTTAGGGAATTACTTCGGTGCAGTTCAGAAATGGGTAGAACTTCAAAATTTGGGAGGAGATACTATTTTTAGTATTGTTGATATGCACTCTATTACTTTACCTCAGGTAAAATCGCAGTTGAAAAGTAATGTGAAATGCTATTTTGAGTGATAACTGCATTATTGATTTGTATTCTAGGATCCAAACGTTTTACAAAACAATGTGTTGAAAGTTACAGCATCCTTAATTGCATGTGGTATAGATCCAGAAAAAAGTGTTATATTCCAACAGTCAAAAGTAAGTTAAAAATCAATCACAAATACCCTTGAATTTACTTGCAATTAATGTTAGCTTTCTTCCAAATTGTAGGTTAGTCAGCATGCAGAGCTGTGTTGGGTCTTAGGTTGTCTTACAACAATGGCCCGACTAGCACATTTACCTCAATTTAAAGAGAAATCTGCCACCTTAAAAGAAGTTCCTCTCGGGCTTTATTTGTACCCTGTACTACAGTGTGCTGATATTCTTCTTTACAGGTTTGTATATTTTACCTTGCTTCGTAGTTAGAGAAACACTTTTTTCAATTAGATGGAATATTTTGTCTCATCTCACGATTACAATTAGTACACAATTTACTAGTAACTACTGAACAAGTACATTTTTACATAGTAATATGCTGTATCCATCATAAATGTGAATGAAATATTTATAAAATGGGTACACTTTTTTCCGGGATTGTAGAGGCGGAATGTGTATTACTAACTATCAACTTATTGAATTTTTGTATCAATGTGTTCTTTTGGAAACAATAATGCATTAATGAAGAAATTGTGATAATGTGTAATGTGTGTAGGAGGGCTGTAGCTATTTTGAAACTTTTGAAAAAGGTTCTGAAGCCTTTTGGTATTAAAACATCTTATTTCTTTAAATATGCACGATCTCTGATATATACAATTGTGTAACATTGAGGATGAGGCTCTCTGATTGTCTGACAACTGTGCAAATGAATAAACAAATTATTTGTACTTATTAATTATATTATAAGAGTTTTAATTCCATTTTTCTTGTGTTGTATTGATTTACAGGTTAAATATATCATGCATTAATAGAAAAGAGGAATCCAGATATGTAATTGGCTTCCCTTCTTATTTTAGGCTGTAAATAACATCCAAAGTGTGAATATCAATTACGAATCTTGGTTTACCTCGTATTTTGTTTTGGTGGTGTTCATATTAGAAACTGCAATGATTTTTGAACTGCTCAAATTTGTATTGTTCAATAATACAAATGAGGGGGGAGGAAGTAAAGTAATTTTTCTCCTCAAAACATGTCAGTTTATAGATAGCATTAAAGGTGTATCAATTTTAAAAGAAATGTTCATACTTGCATTTTTTGCTTTATTAATGTTCTTGGAAAGAACTTGATTCAACAAGAATTTGGCATTTGCTTTGTCTGCACATTCAAAAAGTAGTTAAATCTGATCTTGTTTGAAATATTGTCAAGAAACATTACTTCCCTAATGGCAATTCCCAGAATTGTATGAACATGTCCAAACATAACACTTCCACACATTAATGAATAAGATGTTAGTTTTCAGGCCCAATTCATTCTGCATCTGACTGAATTGCTATAATAATAAGAAATAAATCAATCCTATGATCATCATAGATGATAGAAATGATTGGAACTAGATAGTAAAATTAAATTTTCTTCATTAATGCGAAAATAGAGTGTGCGAGTTCAGTAAAAACCTCAAAAGTGTGTTTTTACTCTGAGGTGATTTACATTATTTTATCCATTACCATAATGCAAACCTAAACAAGGAAGTTGAAATGAATTACCTAAATTAATAGTAAAATACAATTCTATTCGGTGAATTAATTTTTTTTTGCTTGAGATAAAAAATGTTAGTGACCACAAACAACAAAATAAATTATGATTTACATAGTTGTACTTAATGAAAGTTGAAATATATTTCATTTTTCATACACTTCACTGGCACAAAAAATGAAACACTTTCTCAAGAGCAATGATTTATTTCCCTTTTGTACGTTACATAAAATGTGATATGTCATATTATTACATTTTACATTCATAATGCAACCAAGCCAAAAGTAACATAAAATGAGCATGTTTTTTCAGTATGTTTGTTTTTTTAGATTGTGATATTGTTCTTTAGAGACCCTACATTCAACTTTCACTTACATACTTTACTGTGACTATTTCACTCATGTCTTCCCATGATATAAAGAACCAATGCTAAGTAAGAATATATTCAAATTAAACCAATCCCAGATACCTACTGCCATATGATTATCAAGTTTGCACTTTGCTGTCATCTCTGTTTACTTTTTTGTTGTTATTGATAACAATTGTTTTGTGTCCATAACTTGTGAGCATCAATATAATATTAAAGTGAGTTGTTTTGGTAATGTTTCAAAGTCTGAAATTGAGCTGAATTAAAGGTTCAGTGCCAAAAATCAGAAAAGAAATTGAGGTGTTTGGAAGCAATTCAAAGAATTGTGTGAAGAAAGAAAATACAAACTAATTAAAAAATTATAGACAATTTGAAAGATTGGGCAATTAGTATGTAAGAGTGACAACTACAGGTTATTTTATTTAACTATTAAAGAGTGACAACTACAAAGAAAATGGTTTCAAAACCATGTGGTACGTTACAGCCAAAATTCTACAGGAAAGTAATTTAATGAGGAAAAACATATATTACAATCCCGGGACATGGGAAACTCAACTTCTAACAACTTAAATAATTGTGTTTCATTTAATCTTCTTGGTAGTAATTTTGTTATAATTGTTTTATGAAAGTTTTGTAATAAAAAATTGAAATAGAATAGAAATAATTTTCTGTGCTAAATTTTTTCTTTGGATATGTCGTTTTAGGAGACAGTGATAACTCAGAGCTGAATGAAAGCTGCATACAATCAGGTAGCAGTTTTGCGTAAAATTTCTCTTTTTCATAAATTTAATAATTTTAATTATCCATTACAATCATGTAATGTGTTATTTTGTGAAATAGTCACACCAAATATCACTCAAAGTTCTATGATAATTGAAAAATTCAATTCTTGATACGCAAATTATGAATTTACCAGCCATTACAACACTTCTCATGATATTACTTATGATAACTGCTATGGACCTCTCAGACAAGCTTCTTATTAATATGGCAATTTCATCCTGAAATTAAGTTCCATTCTTGTTGGAGAATTTTCTACAGGTACTGGTGGCATGCTCTTCATCCCAATTGTTTTAGAAGATTCAAATCAGGGCTTCTACCAAGCTTTTTGGATTGAAGTGTTACATTTTTCATGCCAGCAGATGTTTCTTTGCCCTGTGTTGCTAACACCTTATTTACCCAGCTCTTTATAATGGTCATACAAAATTACTGGTATTGGTCCTGTAGAAATAATATTTTTGTACTTTTATTAGAGCAACTGAAGTTCCTGTTGGAGAAGATCAAGTACAACACTTGCAATTGGCTCAGCACTTGGCCAAAGCATTTAATAATCGCTTTGGTTACACGTTTCCCATTCCCAGAGCAGTTGTTGGAGGTATTTCATTTTCTTAATGTTTTATTTTGGGCTCTATGCTTAGTATTATAGAGGATGGTTAAGTATTCCTAATAATTTAAACTTATCTTTTATTTTACAAAATTAGATGAGCTTTATATAGTGTTAATATAAAAAAATAAATAGAAATGAGATATATTTATTTTCTTTATTACATTTAGCCAGAGATCTCCAAACGTCAATTGCAAAACACTAGTAGCTTGCGAGGGAATTTTTGCATAATCACAGTGCCATTTGGTGCCAGTGGTGGTTAACATGGACTTGTTGCGAATGTGAATAGTTTGATTTAATCTTTGATATGGAGCTATGTTTGTGCTAATGAGTTCAAGCAAGAAACAAAAATCTTATAAGAGTTCATTTGGAATGGGAAATCAATTACTTCTTTCCTCTGGTAAAGGACAAATTTGTGTTTACTTGCAAGTTTATCAGTTGGGAAGAAAAGGATGAATATTTATTGGCAATAAACAAATATTTGAAAGATCTTATTTCTACCCTTGTTTCTTGGATAGCTCACTGTAGGATTTAAAAACAGTGCAGTTGTTAAGTAGATTTATAAGTCTGGCAATCGTTGGATTAAGCAAACAAATCAAAGGGACAGTCATTTTTGAAACCAGGAAGTTTTTCATTTGTTAATTATTATCTCTATTCTCTCATTACTTCATTGGACATAGAAATCTCTATGTTGAGTCAGTGGCTGGAGCGTTTTAAAAGTTATCTCATTTTGTTTTCAGTATGTAATTAATATTTTTCTTTTGAATTTTCATCTACAATATAAGGCTTTCTGTAATTGACTTGAAACAATATGTGTAGGTATTACAATTCTCTTGAAATAATATAATCTGTTCATGGGCAATTAAATGATTAAATGGCTTTATACATTTACCTCTGAAGTCTTTGTAAACCCAAGGTTTCTTAGTTACACATCTCATTTTTCCCTGTTAGGCTTGGTTAGAGTTTCCTCTTTTTCTGTTCGTTGCTGGCTAGAGTTTCCTTATAAACACTGGATCTAAAAAAAGAGGTTGATATTCATGATAGTCATAGTGTAAGTGTGACTATCATGTATTTTTGCTGCATTTCAGTATCTCACCTCCCTCATTTTTCTTTTTGCTGTTTTTCTGAGTTCAGAAAGTCAGAACTATTACATTGAACATAAAATAAGAAACCATTCTAAAGTACCAAAACTCAGAGACCCAATTTGCTCTTTCGGTTTGCTGCACCAAATGATTTGTTGAAATTACTTCTGATTGACTGCTGACCAGCAGGTGTTTACAGTCTTACACCTCTAAGTATTCACATATTTTGTTGCTGCAGGTGTATTCCCATCTTAGTTTATCTTAGAGCATGTTGCCCTCTTCTCAATCCAGTGTTTCACCTTTTCTGTATCTCAATTGTTAACTGATGTCTGTGTGAGTTATTCCTCAAGTCCAGAGTTACTACAAGGAGAAACAATGTTCCACAGTTGTAGGCATCAAGTTGTTTGATACGGGAACTGACTAATTGTTTGGAGGAAGCCATTTCTTGAACTGTGACATCTAGGGAGATAGGTAAAAGGTTCCCGAGTTGGTAAATGATATTAAACCCACTTAAAAAAGTTAGGAGAAATAGCAAAGAAATACCGTTTATATTATTAAAAATTGAATTAATGACTTAATGAGTGTTATAACAAATTTCATTTTTAATAAAAAGAATGTTAAGTAGCAAAAGGAATGATAATTTCTTAGTCTATGATTTTAAATATATAAAGCTAAATAATTTATGAAATATTCCGACAATATAAGTAGCAAAATAATGACTACCACTTTGGTGCAGTTGCACAATGTGACTCACCAATTCGAAACATGTTTCAAATATTAATATCATATTATTTGTTTGCCTTGATTTACAATCTTAATCATTAAGTAACATCCATTTGCAATTGAGGAATTAGATGGAAGAATGACTTAAACCTAGGTTAAGCCACTTTTCTGTTTCTTGGCGTGTGGTCTTCAGTAGACGAAATGACACTGGACTACAGAGAACAAAAGGTTGCACAGGATCTGTTGGTCCATTGAACTGCTTGTACTCTTTGTTGGATTTTTCCTGTGTTTTTGTACCAATTTTCTTACATTGGTTGTATTCACTTGGTCAGTAGATCTGTTTTAAATAATTTCTTTTACATTAATTCTAGAGTTTCTCTTGTGTTGCTAATGTTGAATGAGTGATAAGGAAGACACTAACCCTAAAAACCATTTCCATTGAGTTTTATTTTATTGCATAAAATATGTATGGAGTATCTGGTGTGTGTGTGTGGTGTTTTTTAATGCCCTTAGTGTGTACTTTACTTATGATATGAGTTAAACATTTTTCTCCAGACCACCACCTTAATAATAATATAAAAAGAACCAAATTAATTAAAGAATGGCCTAATATACTGCATTTCAGATTACATACCAGTAGGGTAAACATTGTAAAATCACATGTGAAAACTTTACACTTTTTTTCTTGAAAGTATGTATTTAAGGTTAAGCCATTCTTCCATTCAACTCCTTAATAAATAACTAATAATTACAATTATTGTGATCTTATTGTTTTTGAATGTAAATCTACTTTAAATATAATTGTTTTTTTAAGTTATATTTTATTTAAAAAAAAAACACTTGTCTGTTAAGGAATTTCTTTCAATCTCCTATATTCCATAGCATTTTAACATCCAAGTTGATACTTACCTTATTATTACGTTTTTCTGTTAAATTGAAACTAGGCTGAATAAATATCTGAGATTTTAAAGGGCAAAAGATGAGTTAAAATTCCATAAATAAGATGCAAAGAATCACCAGTTTAAAAATGGGGTCATTAGTGCTGGATTAGTTAAGTTTAAGAGTTGTGGATGTGTTTAGAAAAGGAGGTATGTTTTTAAAATTGTGATTCTGGAATTTAAGAATTTAAAAACAACTTATTTTCAATGCATTTATTAACTTATGTTCCTAAATTTATTTTCTTAATTTTAAGCATTTTAATTTTAGAGAAAAAAAACTGAAGTGAGTGAAGTTTTCTAGAACGGCAATGCTTTTGTGATCTTGTGAACAATGTTTGGAAAAATAATATGTATTTTTTATTTTCAAATTTATAAACATTAATGCAATGTCCTTTTGTTTGTATAATCCTGTAAATGTCATCATTTTTATTTTTGGAATCAAGGGTGAACCTTTATTATTCTTTTATAGATACTAATGTATGTCGAGTGAAAAGTCTTCGGGATCCATCAAAAAAAATGTCGAAATCGGACGTGGACTCCAAAAGCCGAATTGACCTCTGCGATTCACCAGAAATTATTTTAGATAAGTGCCAAAAAGCACTTACTGACTTCCAGTCTGCAATTACCTTTGAACCTGAACATCGGGCAGGAGTTTCCAATTTGATATCAATTCATTCTTTGTTTACTGGACAAGAACCTTGTAATATTTGTAAAGAATATTCAGATATTGACACTGGGAAGTAAGTGTAATTGCATGCTTGTATGATACTCTTTGTAGTTTATCTTCTGTAGCTTTGCTCAGGCTTACTCTTTCAGGTACAAGTTGGTTGTTGCCAATGTAATTCAGGATTATTTGAAACCAATTCGTGAAAGAACTGAAAAGTTAATGGCTGATCCCTTATACTTACAAGAAATTTTAGAACAGGGTTCAAGAAAAGCTAGAAGCATGGCTGAAGAAACATGGCAGGATGTGAGAAAAAGAATTGGCTTTTCTAGCCAGTGACAGTGCACTCCCATCTAATTGTAATGTGAAACTAATATGAGGTCAGGATTCTTGTACATATTTATTAAGTTTGAGGTAGTAATTATCACTGTTTTAGATCATTATCATCTTAGTCTTAGATTAAATAATGTTGGTTTTTGTAATAATTGCAGAAATTATGGCATTTGTCAGAGAAAATAAAATTTAATATAAACCCTTTTCTTGTCTTATCATTTTCATTCTAAATTCTTAGTTGATATATTTCTGTTCCTATCATCACTTCTGTGTACACTTGCATGCGAAAGTGCCTAAGTCCAGCTCATAAAAGCCGATTATTAACTTCCAATTAATTACTTGTAATGCAAGAAAGAGAAAAAATATTTCTCTTGATATTACAACTTCTATACAAACTAGTGATGCTTCATCAGCACGTACTTTCTCACGATACTGTTAATGGTAATGTAATATAGAAATTTTTGTCTGACACTTCAACTATCATTTGAAAAATTCGTAAAGAAACAAAGCCCGAAACATTATTTTTTTATATTCAAATTTTTAAACGAAAACGGCTTTCTGCTAATTCAGTGTATTCATGACGTGCGTTGCATACTTAAGCCGTAAATAAAATTATTAGTTTATATTAATGCGAACCAACTGCTGCCATAATTATAGCCTTCTGATAGTGCAATTTAAAATAGAGCTAACAATTTCATTATATTAAAAATAATAGTGCTTTTTTAACATTCAAATGACAGCCTCCCAGTTCTTTTTATCTTTCCTTATAACAACACCAGGAATACAAAATTTAAATCCATTACGTCCTGGACCCAGTTGTATAATTTTATCAACATTAGAAGAAAATGACAAAATATAACGTACTAATTATTAGTACTAATAATTTCTGTTGCATAATGGTGTAGAATTTCTAAAATATTAGAAGAGCTTTATTAGTAATTTTTACAAGTTAGAAAACAACAATGTTCACAACCTCCCTGATTATGAAACAAATGCATGTGTATTTGATAAGTACGTAGGAAACGGTGCACATTTTCAATTGTGTGAGGCACTTGTGGACTAAAGTATTCATGGATTCTTTTGTATGAGTCAAAGAGAACAGCAAACGAAGCTGAAATTGTGTGCTTTGACTAAAATTAAAATGAAGAAATCAAGGCATGCAAAGAAATATGCAATCTTATTAGGTGCTGTCACCTGAGAAAGATTCTAATTATTTAAGAGATGTATGGTGGCGCAATACACGAAAAGTATCATTTGTGAGCTGAATTTTAAATTTTTGTTAGAGTGCATTTTTATAAAAAGTAAAATCCAACACCATATGTGAATCATTTAGAATTAAAAGATCACATGATCACAAAACCTTTTTCAGTAGACAAATAAAACTATTTTGTCTTCAAGGAACATAATTCTTATAGTAAGTGTATATCATGAAACTAAAATACTTAATTCATTGTATTAACTTTAAATAAATTTTAAAAATATAATTCAAGTAAATTGGAAATAATATTGATGTGATGTTTTAATTGTAATCAATTCAGTTATATTCATTAATAATTTAAATCTATCTTGCTTGGAAATGCAATTATTACATTTACTACAATATAATTTACTATCTATTCTGTTTTTATTTTTATGAGGAAAAGCTACACAATGCTAAACGCACTTGCAGTGGAGGGGGAGCAACAGTAAAAATTAATTATGTTGATTAAGTGCTGGACATCATTGGCAAGGATTCTCTAGTTGTACAAGGACTTAGAATAAATGAATTCATGTCTATAACAGATCAAAATGATATATTGGAAATGAAATGGAAGAGCTCGAGGAGATACAAAATAATGTATTAACTTATTCTCCCAGTACTTCTAATGAAAAGAAAACTAAAAGTGGCAAAAGAGTTTGTAACATGTGCAGCAAAAAAGTAGTCTTCAAGTTGAGCGACTTAAAATTCAGAGTTATAAAACTCAACATGATGGCAGGCATCTGGAAATTGGTTTGGATCTTCCAAGAAGCAATTTCATGGCAGATATACAGGACAATGTTTCTGAAGTTATTGATATTCCTTTAGATAATAACAATTAATAGATATTTTAAAATTCCAAACTGTTTTCATTTATTTTTAAAATAAAAGATGTGCATTGCATTAATTATTTGTTATTGCCTCAATCGGGCTGCCAGCTGAACGGGTTCATCATCAATTTCTTGTCGTTGGTGTTCTAGAACATTGAACGCCAAGATGATTCAAACATTGAAACTTTACTTTTAAAATTACCAAAGCACATTCTATAATTTGTCTTGTGGATTTATGTCCAAGATTGTAAAGCCTTTCTTGAATTTTGTTGTATCAATTGGTATTAGAGATCCATCTATTACCCCACACACATATGAAAATTTTGCAGTTCTGTGGAACTGCTTAAGCACATTTCCAATGTCTTTTGGCCATTTAACAACCCAGTTGAATAGTGTAACCACACTTCTTATTGCATGACAAATAGTTGATTTATTGACACCATGCATGGCAGCAATAGAATGATACTGGCTTCCACTACCATGCCAATGCTGTGTTATGACCCATAACTATTCTTTTGGGGAAAGAGCACCACCCTTTCTTGTTGCATGTTGAATTACCTGTAATAATATTTCTGCATTATGTGGGGACATTCTGAATTGTTTATAAGATTGAGATTAAAAGTCAAAATTGATCTGTTGACGATACACTTTTTGTCATCTAAGTTATCTGAGAATGTTTTCATTTGAAGAATCAAAAAGTGTATTTTCTATGATTTAGTTCTTTATCTTTAATTATTTTGCATCTACATCGGCTTAACCTCATAATATTTCATAATATGGGTGAATTTACACATGGGTGAAAGAAATGTATTAGTAAACAATCATAACTAATATTATTAGTCTGGACAGAGAGTCTGGATTATGCAGCATATACATGTGAAATTTACACATATTATTAGTAACTTTCCTTAAAACATGTGATATTAATACGTTTTATTATGCAACTGATATATTTTGTAAGTTTATTACACTCAATTGGGTGATCTTGAGAATTTATAGAATTTTTTAAACATTCTGTACAGTATTATTTTGTATTGTGTCGTATGTCAGTTTTTTGCTCCTGAACAATGATTATTTATTGAATTATTTGAAAATTATTCATATTCTCTTTTTTATTATGGAGATACTCAGTGGACTGTCATAGTATTTTGCACCACAGTTGCTTACACGGACTCAAAGAAGCAATCTTTAGCATAGATCAGCACACCAATCAGTAGAGCTACTAACAGGACATTCAATTCAGAAAGAAATATACTTTTTAGAGGCTTCAAATGTGTTGCAGTTACTGTTTTACTGGTGTTAATGTCAACCATTCAAGGTGTAGGTGAATGTAGAGCTGGATTTCATCATGGCAAAATTATGCTTGGGACTCCCATTCCCGTGCCCAGATTTTTTAAAAATAGATATTAAAAAGTTCATGAAATGTTTTATCTGAATAATCATTAATCAAATAGTTTACTGAACAATGTTTGATTTAAAAAATTAATTGAATGGAACAATAAGATACAAAACATATTTGTAAATGAGAACTTTAAAAAGCAATATCTACCTTGTAAGCAATTTATTAATTAACATCTGTATTGTAACAATGATTTATTCTATCATAATTAGTGCTTTTTAGATTTATTCATCATTAGTTTTAAAGGTTTTTGTGAAGGAGTGCCCAGTATATTTTTGTGCATACAGTATCTAAATCTGCCCATGGACAAATTTAATAATTACATTTTATTGAAATTGTAAGAGGAATGATATATTCAGCCTTTGGTAGTTTTAGTATTTTAATAGAAACCCCTTTTCTCTTCAGTACTATATTTTATCTAATTGTTTGCATTTCCTAAAGAGTAGTAATGCACTGAATGTTTGAATGGTTCTCATGTCTTATTTTCAAAACATTTAAACCTTTTTTCATTTTGAGTGTAACATTAAGACTAACAATTACAAAAGACTATGCCACTTGCAAATCTCTTTTGATGATTTTATCTCCAACAGTGTTATAATTTTATTATTGAAGGTCTCAATATTACAGCTCTTAGTATCATTATTCAAGTGATTCAAAATAACGAAACTCAGAAGAAGCACGAGCCCTGAGCATTGATCAATGAAACAAAATTAATTCGCATAATTACATAAATCTCAGCATGAAAGTCCCTATTTTGTTTATGCAGGTCTTTCAATACCCACTTAACTCGCCAAATAATAATTTTGAACGTAATATGGACTCACTAGGGAATATCTCCCTCTAACCACCTTAAGAACGAAGTATGGTGCAGGGCCCTATAACTCCCATATAACGTGGTGGAGACCATTACGGTGGCGCGCTCTGCTTGGCATCGCCTTTAACATGAACTAACAAACGAACTGCTACAACGATACTCTTAAACGTACGAGGCTACTGTTGTGGAGTCGCGAGGTGATGCAAGCAGGCCCATGAGATGGTTAGGCAAAAGACTAACGCTCTGTATATGGTCGCCGCATTAATTCAGGCGCTTTCTTATACAGTATAGATGAGGGAATAATAGTACATTTATAAGACACTTTTCGTATTTCTCACAAATTAGCCAATTTGTAAGTGGGAAAGTTGGCGAGTCTAACCTGCAGCTGCACCTGGCGACACTAGCGCTTCCTATAGTAGCAGCCTCGAGCTTTGTCCCCAGTTTTGATAGAGAGTTGCCGGGCCCCATAGAGGTAGTAAGAAGAACCGGGCCGGGCCCTGGTATGGTGTCATAGCAACAACGTTGCCAAGCGTGGCGCATTTCTGCTGTACAGAATGAATCGAAAGTTACGTATTCGTTGGTGACGAATCCCGCAATTGGGCGGGGCGCTAGTTTAGCTCTTTTGTATGGTAGCTTTCCAATTTCTCCTATACATTTCATTAGGGAGGAAATTGTATCTTTATATCTTCTATAGTTGTAGGAAGACGTCGCAAATATTTTGAACTTTTTCGATTTTCGAAAAATTAGTATTTTGAACCAACATAGAAACGTGGAAAATACTCAAATTTTCGAGAAATTGTTCATAACCTTATTTCAAAATATATCTTTAAGGAAAATATTTTATACAGGGGGGACATTTCAATATTTTTTTGTAGGAAGATTTTTTTTTAATTTTTGCAATTTTCGAAAAATCAGAGTTTTCAACGAAAATGAGACATGCACTCTTAATCGTCAATTACACTATCCAACATCAAAATTTAATAAAAATCATTGGA